TCGGATAGTTCTCCCATGTAGTTTAAGTTTTTGTTTTGTTTTCTTTTTGCTGAATTTGGTTTAAAATAATTTTTGAATTGTGTAATTTTCTATTAATCAAATTATGTTACTGCAATGGATGGATATAATATGTGAAATGTGTATATTATTTTGTAATGTTTTGTATACTTTGTTTTATTCTATATCCCCGCATCAGGGTCTTTGTACCAGAATGCTAAACAAATAAATAAAAAATACAATAGTTAACTAACCTGTTTTAAGTTAAGATCCACATCTGTACAGTGTTGATGTTGTGTCCCCTAAGGCATTTTTAGACCGTTTTCCCCTCTTTTTGTTTCCTTTCCCTTTAGCTCCTCCTATTTCCTCCACAAGTTGTCAACCTCCATTCCATCATTTAAGTTTATGGTTTTGCTTTTATTAACAATTTCGAAATGCTCTTTGAATTTTCGTAGGTAACTGTCTTTTTCTTTATGGATTATTTTTACACTTTTTTCGTTAATTGTGCATCCGAATTCCTTACAGTGATTTGTCCATGGTGATTGGTTATAATTAAGTCTAATTGCTTCTTTATGTTCTTTTATTCTGGTACCGAGTTGCCTTCCTGTTTCTCCAATGTATATCGCTGGTTTCTTACTGTACATATTATTTCATATATTACACCTGTTTGGCTTAGTATTTCGTTATTTTTGAACTTATTGGTGTTGATGATGTTTTTAATTTTATTTTTTAATTTGGCTGCTAGTGTAACACCATGCTTACTGAAAACTTTTCTGTATTTTTCAAACGTTCCCCTTTCTAACAATGTTTTTTGTACTAATAATGTTGTTTGCAAAAATCCAGAAGACAGAATTCATGGATTATTCTCTATCAACGACTCAGTAGAGTCTATATGGTATAAATATAATTTATTGACCAAAGTTATTAATGTTATCCCTCCTCCTAAAAATTAATTTTATGTATGAAGTTTTCAATAAATAAATAAATAATAAAATTATTTTATTTATAATTTTAGCCCTTATATCTTGGCTAGCGATTCGGAATATAATTGTGATATTAAAAATACATTTAGAGAAGTCTACGGTTTTTATTGGCTTATCGAACAAACGATACGAATGGACCCTTGACCATCACTGACGCGCAATTAACCGATTGCCCCTGGAAGTCGACTTCTTACAGAAACACAGCTTCCCTACTATCAAATGTCATGGCACGCCACTGGGGAATCCAATGATCTCAATAGGGTCTAGACAAAGACAACTATCCAAATTAACAAGATAACACTTTAATTTTCCTGAGAACATACAGTACTTCTAGGAAAAAAAAGTCACAGGAACGTACGAAGCCCGACAATCTAGTATACCGAATATCGTTAACATCAAATCTCCCGACAATATACTGCTCAAAATTCCCGTAACGTGAAGACATAAAACATACCGACAAATGAGTTTGAAGTGTATCTTTTCCTTTTCTTCACTCTGGGCAGAAAACAGTTCGAAATTCAAAATCTCCACACTGACTAGGTTGCAGTCTTTACTTTCCCACGCAATTTCACCACCACAATTACTTTGCTTCTTCCCTGTCCTCTCTTCACTTCCGTTCTAACTTCTCCCCGAGACACACCCTCCAATAAAACTCCCGCGGTTAAACACCCCAGAATTACACAACTCCTCTCCACCGAGTCGGGCCCACCATGTGGCGAAGGGGGGCAGGAAAAGACGTAAGGCACAATACAAACCATAGATTGGCCAGATACTAGAATACGCCACAAATTGGAAAAAAGGTTTTAGTGCTGTTTGGAATTTCTTATAATTTTTTTTTTTTTTTATTAAACTTTGAAGTTAAAGTTGTTTGTAAAATTTAAGTAAAATTTTATTTGTATATGAAAATATGTTAAATAAAAACATGTGTTTAAACTTTGTTGTTGTTGTTTAAAAAAATTTGTTTTAAAATGGATTCCAAAATATTTTTAACATATAGGCAAGTGAAAAATACTTTAAACAAGGATTTCTGGAAATTACACTCGTTTATCCTCCTTCCTCCCATTCTTTCCTGCACCACGAAACCTGCATCGTGGTAGTTAAAAATTTACCAACCCGAATCGAATCCCCAGAGTGACAGTCTGACATCTTTACCGACTCGGCCTTTTTTTTTAACTCTCCGCCCTGTGGGCACTAAGAGGGCCTCTTTAGCGAGCCCATTATGAGTTGTGAGAGACGGGGCCCGACATATCCGGACAGATCATCCCCGAAAAATTCCTGGAGATTTTTCAATCCCGGGTCCCCCAGAGCGGTTGACTGTCACCTTGATCGCTCGGCCTTACTAACAATAGCAAATTCGAAAGTTTATTTCAAATTTTACACGTTAAACATGTAAAAAAAATCAAAAACATGTTCTATTTCTAATTCACAAGGAAATGATTATTTAAACCTGGAACTGTTGACACATTCCCTTTATTCAATACTGTATCTTTTTACATTCGTATTGACAAACAAATGTAAAAAGATAGTGTTGAATAAAGTGGATGTGTCAATAGTTCCAGGTTTTAAATCATCACTTCGTTGTGAAATTAAAAGTAGAAGTTAAAACAAAATAAAGTGTATTATAATGAATATGTTTTTATCTGTTTCCAGTATAATTAACCGTTACAATCTTAAATATGATATAGAATTATAGTTTAATGGTGAAAGAAATAATACTTTTCATTAAATTATTAACGTGTTGCTTGTTGAATAATTACTGTATATGCTCAAATTGAATATCATCAAGTTAATGAATTATATTTTAAAAAAGTGACGTTGGCGTTACGAATATTTTGAAATTTATTTACTCGATTCACGTCATTTGTTCCAGAGCACGTTATGTAATTCTATTTTCTGTTCAGAGAAAATCGAAAATTAAAAATGGGTAAAGAAAATTTTCTTAAAACTCCGTATGGAATATTCAGATCTATGGAACTGGTTAGTATCACTTATGATTACAATAATTATTTTCTATACAAAATTTACAAATTAATGTTTATTATATGTTCGTTTGTTGATTTTCGCATACAGAATCTTAATTTTCAATTCAAATTTTGAAGATAAATCTAAATATTGAAATACTTTCGAATAATTTTTTCGGCTCCTTCGCCTGTGGACACTAAGTGCGCCTTATTTTTTAACAGCCTATCGTAGACACAATGGAGTGATCGGGTGAGGGAGGGATATATACGGGAAAGACTAACCATGAAAATTCCTGGGGTTGCTCTCTCGAATTCGATTTCAGGTCCCCTGGACCTGCAGCCTGACATCTCGGTCATCCCCTACTTTTGAATTATTATAATTCGAATTTTCAATTTATTAAATCGATAGACTGTCAAAATTGTTTTAATTAACAACAAAAAAATTAGAATTAATATGAAAAAGTGATAGTAAAAGCTGTATACAGTATTTTTTATTTACATAAATTTTAGTAAATAGTTTTCAGATAACATTTCCTTAGTTGGAGTTTTTATTGTCATTTCTTTAAGAGTGTTGGGTTTTGTTCTTAAATCAGACTTCTAAAGCAACTTCCTGTAAATACATAACTCCAATTGTGCAATATACGTAGCTGTTATTGTTCATTTTGTTATTCTCGAATCCTTATGGGCAACATCAAGAATTTTTTTTGGCCTGTCCAGGATATGTCAGGCCCCATCCCTTACCACCTAGCTGAGTTCGTTATGATTAAAAATATCCTCTTAGCGCACAAAGGGCGAACAGATAAAACCGAAAAAACAAAAAGATATTCTTTCAGCCATTTTTGATATGTATATCTATTTGCAGATATGATACCCAGCATTAAAATTATTTATCTTTTAGTCTTCATTACTTTAAAATATTTTGCAGACATTCGCAATTGGTGGTGTTGTTTCAACTGAAGAAACAAAATATTGTGGCGATACATTCCAGATACGATTCTTTGAATTTGTTTGCATTTCTAGTTTGATCTATATTGCAATGTTTTTTATAATTTTATTCTTTCGCCTCTACGAACGACTTCAGAAATATTTTAAGATACAAATTTTCGTAAGTATATTCCTAAGTATTACAGTATATAAAAGGAAGGGGTACTTACATAGGGTTATAGTAGAATTTCTATCTTTATAGTTACTTATGAGCGATCTGATATTTACAGTACTGTATGCAGTATCCACTGCTTTTATAATTATTAGCATAATTACATGTCCAGAATTAACTGCAGCGAGAAGTGTTACATCTGTAAGTTATTGTATAAATTAAATTATTTTTTTGTATATTTTTAATTCAGTAATTTAATTAATGCATATTTTACAGGTACTCGGAATATTGAATGTTGTATTTTTCTTCTTCTCCACTGCAAGTGATTTTCGTTGGACTACATCTGATATTCCGCCATTTTGAACAGTTTATAATGCATCAAAACTGTCTAATTTACATGTAAATTTGTAAAACAAAATCTTTAGTACTTACTCCTATCTAGTTTTTAAAATATGCGTTTTCTGCTTTGTTATAATTATAAATATATTAAAATTATTGTAATATTTAAATATATTTTAAAAAGTTAAAAAATAATTATATTCAAATAATGTTTTTCGAGATTGGAAGTGGAGCCATCAGTGGTGGATCAAGAAATGGGAGGGTCCCAAGCACAACGTAGTTTTGACGCGCCTTGTTCTAAATACTAATGCTATCAAATCAATTTATTAAATTTTTAAAAATAATCATCAGTCAATCGTTTCCTTAAAAATAATCTCTAAATATCTAGATAAAGATGGTATCTGTGCCTGAGGTTCGCAGAATGTTAAGAAATGTTCCAATTCCAGCGTTCATAAGTCTTCAAATCCTTTTTCCATCTTCGTAACCTTCTTTTTAAAAAAACGCCGTTTTTTATTCAGAGTTCAGGGATTTCACTCATCTAATCCCCATATAAACATTATATAAATGTAAAATACAGTAAAGACCCCGCTTAACGCTGGGGATGCGTTCCTAGATGACAAAGCGCTAAACGAGGTCATTTTAACATAAAGTAAATAGGGAAAGGAAAACACGCGACCAAAAATAAACAGATTTTAATTTTAAGTGATTTTTATATTAATTTGCATAATAATATATGTTAAATAAGGCCAGGAACACACATGCGTAAAATTCGGCGTAAAATCTAGCATAAAACAGAAAGCGTAAAAATTTTTCTGAAATTTTGGCTGAAACAATTGAAAAAAGAGTAGAGCGTGTCTCTATTTTTTACGCCAAAATTCCTCCAATAAAGAGAAGTTTTTTTGTAACGTCTAAGTAGACACGTGGTTTTTATTCTAACAACGGCAGCAATGCAAAAATCTTACAATTGTGACGATCTCGAAAAAACGAAAAATAAATGAAATCGAAGAGTTTATTGAATCCGTTCGACCACATCAGTGTCATGTATAAAGACACTTGGCGGCCGGATGGCCGAGCAGTCAAGGTGGCAGCCTGCCGCTTTGGGGGACCCGGGTTCGAATCCGAACGGGTCGAAAAATCCCCAGGAATTTCTCGGGGATGGTCCGTTTGGATATGTCGGGCCCCGTCCCTCACCACCCGGCAGCCCCATTGTGGGCCTGGCCGAACCCATAATGGGCTTGCAAAAAGAAGCCCTTTTAGTGCTCACAGGGCGGAAAGAGTTTTAAAAAAATGTATAAAGACACTATTTAAACAACTTTTATGGATGGCTATAGGTGCTAAATTTTAAATAACAGGATGGCACGCGGGCTCAAAAAAGTTCGCCACCCCTGGTCTAGTAGAATCGATATATTGACCTAGTATTTAGATCACACGTTCTTTATTTGAATTCGGATTACAAGTCTATTAATTTAAATTTTCTATATTATAGCAGAGGAAGAGGAGAAAAAATGGAAGGTAGTACAAAGGGATAGATATATGAGAGAAAAAAAAAAATGTAGCACTTACAAGGAAACTGTCGGAGTGTCTTCTAATAAATTTTAATAAAATTTAGTTAATAACTACGTTAAAAGTATACAAACTATATTTTAAATTTCTAGCATTCACTAAAAGTGTTGATCAGAGTTATTAGCAATCAAATGTTGCACTACTTTATAGTAGTTTAACACAATTACGCAAATTTTTAGAAGTGAAAGGGCCGCGGAGGAAGACGGCGATATTACATTTAGAATAAATTCTGGAATTTTCAAAAGTGGTTGAAGAATTAATAAAATTTTGTATACTTTTAACATAATTATTAACCAAATTTTATTAATTCTTCTCCCATTTTTGAAAATTTCAGAATTTATTCTAAATGTAATATCGCCGTGTTCCTCCGCGGCCCTTTCACTTCTAAAAATTTGCGTAATTGTGTTAATCTACTATAAAGTAGTGCAACATTTGATTGCTAATAACTCTGATCAACACTTTTAGTGAATGCTAGAAATTTAAAATATAATTTGTATACTTTTAACGTAGTTATTAATTAAATTTTATTAAAATTTATTAGAAGACACTCCGACAGTTCCCTTGTTAGTGGCAGTGGCGTTTCTTATTCGGCCAAATTTTTACGTATATGTGTTCTGGCCTTTCACATGAATTCCTTGTTCTGCCAGTTCTTGAAGGTCGTCGTTGCTAAGGCTCTCAATGTTCGCTGTTGAAATAGTGTAAATTTGTAAAAATATTTGCAAGAACTTTGTTTCATCGTACTTTCACAATTTCTACAAAATTCCCTGACAAAATTAATAGTTCATCCGGACTGTCCGGGTTAAAACCGAACGGGTGGTAACACTACCTATGGCATCCATGTTATATTTTTTTCCCAAAATTGCATCAAACATACTGTAGGTTTAAGTAAAGTACTACGACGAATTGCCACCTTTTGGTTCGTGTTTGGAATAATCTTACTACAGTAGAGCGTCGTTTATCCGAAAGAATTCCAGTTGGCAAATTTTAATTTTCGCTAGTGCTGTGGCGCTGCAATCTTTGGCTATATCTTGGGCTACTCCAATATTTTTTTTTTATTTATGTATGTTTTAGCCGGCAGCACTGGCACTTTTGTGTGGTGTTTTTCTGGGGACTGTCCTGCTGAATCGAACATTTTTGATACTAGATTAACTTCTAAAGTATAATTTTGTTTTTGTTTTATATTTTTCAATATATTTATTTTGTTTGTAAAAAATAAATAATTTTTAACGATACAATAGACACGATTATTATTTTAAAAAGTTTACGTTAGGCTTAACATCGACGAAAATTCAATGCGAGGCGACACGCAACGGAGAAAAATTTAAACATGGAATAGGTTAATAAAGTGATGTAACGAATATTCGGTTACTATTCGGTATTCGGCCTATTTTTCGCTATTCGGCCGAATACCAAATACCTAAAAACAGGAGTAAGAAATAACAAAAACACAGTAAATTAATCATTCTGGTATTTAGATTTAATGTTATCGGGTTAGTGTTGTTTGTTTATATTTATTTATAACTTATAACATGCACAAAATAAAAAAGAAAATAATTTTAGTCACTTGTATTCACAATTTATAATTACAAAGATCAGCACACGTACACACCTATTCGTTCGAGAATCGTCGCATATCTGAAGGTCTGACCCTGCCTATCCTTCTTTTTAAGCGCTCGTCTTTGCTCTTTTCTCTATCGCTCTAGTCCACGTATGCCATGCATACATCATAATACGCCCTCACGACACTTTCGATTCGTCACTTTTCCCATTTTACAATTACGTGACTCATTGCCTGGTGATAACGGAGAAAAGAGACAGATAAAACGTTGGTATAAGTCACAGTTATGATTTCACAGATTCGAAACAGCTTGGTAGCCCGAACGACCCCAGGCTTTCGCCCGTGCACGCTAAATGACTTTCATTACAAGCATTTAGCTTTCCGAAGTCTATGACAATTGCTTGGCATTCACGGCCGCAAATTTCGGGCCAATAAGCTGCCTCGACTTGTTCGATTATGTTATCATATTCATATTTATTTTCACATTTTCACTTTGTGGTTCTTCTTCCGTTATTTACACGTGTAGGTCATTTCATTGTTATCTACGTTTGATATCATCACTTATCACATACAGTAGAGCAGGGGTGGCCAATCTTTTGAATAGCATGCGCCAATTTTTTGACAGACGAGTTCAGATGCGCCATATAACTCTAACACTTTTTATACAGTCTTACATTCAATAATAGGGGTTGATAAATACACATAATAATAAATCTGCTTCGCTTAGGAAAGAAAAGGAAATAACTTAATCACGCAGTTGAATTAATTACTTTATGACAGTTTATTGAAGCACCAATTTACAATAGTCAACAATGATCTCCTGTACGAGAGGGTGATTGCTTCATGATGATGCTATTGCTGCCAGAGTCTCGTTTAGTGAAGATTACTCTGCAACACAATTATTGGCACTGAGAACGAGATCAGCTTAGAATAACGTTAATCACAATAAATGTTTTTGGCCATTTACACGCCCGTAAACTGATCGAAAATAAAGATCGCAAGACTCAAAATACATGCATACATTGTAATTTACTATGTGGAGAACACTCATTTTATTTGCAAAATAGACCGTAACGAATTGTGCAACAAATGAACTTGCCAAGACAGCCTATAAAAAATTTATTTTTTTATATAATATTCTTAATCGCGAAAAAACTAAATCTGGCAACTTTGCTTAAAACGAACTAAAGCGCCACTTGTAATCGTCCAATGCGCCACGTTTTGGCCACCCCTGCAGTAGAGCGTCGTTTATCCGAAGGAATTCGTCGACAAATTTAAATCTTCGCCAGTGCTGTGGCGCTATAATCTTTGGCTATGTCTTGGGCTACTCAAATATTTTACGTTTTTAATACTAAATTAACTTCTGAAGTATATTTAGAATTTTGTTATTCTCGAATCCTTATGGCCAACATCAAGAATTTTTCTTGGCCTGTCCAGGATATGTCAGGCCCCATCCCTTACCACCTAGCTGAGTTCGTTATGATTAAAAATATCCTCTTAGATTTTTTATTTTTTTCAATATATTTATTTTGTTTGTACAAAATAAAAAAATAATTTTTAACGATACAAGTCTTCGTTAGGCTTAACATCGACGAAAATTCAACGCGAAGCGACACGCAACAGAGAAAAATTTCAACACGGGATAAATTAATATATTTTTTCGTACATAATTGGTTATCCGAACAACCCGAGTTTCCAATTAATTCGGATAAACGACGCTCTACTGTACTGCCATGATGCTCTTGTCTGAACTGTCAAGAATTAACGCGATTGGCGAAGCGTAGTGACAGTGGGCCAATAGAGCAGGGTACTTGCCATGCGGTTTGCGCGCCAATTTTCGTACGTGAGTTAATCAAGCCGAATATACTATTCGTTGCAACACTAGTTAATATTTTTCGTACATAGTCGGTTATCCGAACCCGTCCCCAATTGATTCGGATAAACGACACACTACTGTATATACGAATCAATGAAATGCCGCGATATGAATCGACATAAATTTTGAGGTTTTTAGGCTGAGCAGACCGCGTTATATCGAATCAGCGTTAAGCGGAGTTTTACTGTATTATAAAAAATTAATTTTATAAAATTTGAACGTGGGATAGTAAATGGTTATTAATCATTTAAAATTTACTCTATTAGGATTTTTATGCAGTGAATTACCAAAATACAGTAGTTTTTTCGGTTTTCTGATTTATCACATTATGGATTTTGTAAGTTTTGACAGATGAAGTCATTTGAATTCAATAGATTATGAATCAAATTATCCGTGACAATGAACATAATTATATATCGTACAGTACTGGTACATTCACATCAATTAGGATTACAAAAAATAACTTTCAAACTTAAATTCGTCACGCAAAATTTAAAAATATTCCATCTACGCGGAGTACCAAAAACGAAGCGTTTAATTACTTCCAAATATTAAATTAGAATTAAACGTTCGTACGTTTAATTCTAATGCGTTACAGGGAACCTTTTTACATAGTCTGAATTATGTTCAAAAATTGCTTATTTTCGTGATTGTTATAAGCTATTGCTCCAGAAAATCATTTTACTTTCCAGTTTCTCATAAAGTTTAAATACGAATTTCGGTACTAGACATTTTTACACGACATCTAGTGAAATTTAATCAGATACACGTAATAGTATTAATAGATAAGGAGTCTACTCGAAAAATTAAAAATTAAATTTTAATCGATTTGATTCATAATTGGGCTGCAATTTAAAATTGTAGACCTATAAATTCCTATTGTTCGTCCTAACAATCTCGAGAACGGAGTTTGAAGACGAGACCAGATGTGGAAATCTTGGGGCATGAGGTCCCGATTAACTATACACGAAGTTCCGATGCAAACCGTTAATCATGTTATTTCAGTTCGTTTCCTCTAGAAGGTGTTAGATGACTGGCAGGACTACTGTTAAAAAAATTATGTAGAGGGGCAAGACAATACAGTACTAATTTGGAGGCAGAGCATATATTTTAAATTAAATATATGCTTAAAAATTGCAGTCCAGCATCGTGACTGTCAAAATATATAATTGTTCATTCTAATATAGTTTCTTTCAACACTCCACTTTCTCTGAGTTCAGAATATGTAAATACTAGAGATAAAGAGATATTTTAAAGCCTATGGAATTGTTAGATATAATGGCACTAACATCTCTCATGAATTTCAAACCAAAACAATTGTTTGTTGCTATATTTCTTTTCATAGATATTTAAAAATTTTTTTCTGGGAAAATTTACCCTACAACTTTTGCACTAATTCATAGAAAAACAGATTCCAATGTTATAACAGATAATGTAACAATAAAACTCTTCTCTGTAAACTATTTGAATTGTATCAAAAAAGTGTGAAAAAATAAAAAATTTAAATACTAAATGATAAAAATAAAGACACACCAATTCAAAATGTCAGTTTACTTTATTTCAACTTTATTCCTGAAAATAAAAAAAATATACATTAATAAATTAGAGTTGAGTTGAATACACTAAACAGATGATAATATACTCACTTCTGGAACTTCAAGCTCCTTGGCTTTGATTTTCTCAATAAGATCGTGAGGATGGCTACCATCTATCGTGCATCCCACAGACTGGCAGGTACCCAAGATTTCCTTCACCGTGCCGGCCAGATCTTTGGCCATGGAACGTGGTCTCATAGTACGAGCAATGGTAACGATGTCATCAAAAGCAAGATTTCCATTGTGTTTTACTGCAAGATAAATTTTATCCACATTTTAGAATATTTTGTTACATTGTATATGTTACAAACCACACATGATAAAAAGCCATCATGCATACCATGTTTAACTTTCTTTCTGTCTCTGGGAGGTTCCTTCAAAGCTCTGATGATGAGTGAAGCAGCACTAGGAACAACTTCAATCTGAGCTTGTCTGTTTTGAATAATCAACTTGACTGTGATTTTCAAACCTTTCCAATCTGCAGTGGCCTTGGCAATGTCATCTCCAACTTTTTTTGGTGACTAAGTAGAAAACATTTCAATTTTAAGTACAAAATTAAGTACAATCGAATCAATAATAATAATAAAAATCGGATGCCCTCAGATCTCATAATCTTCAATCAATGGGACACATCCGTTACTAGCCATTACTAATGCCACTACAAAAAGTGAGGAAACAGATGAATAGAGCGAGACAAAGATGTAAAAGTGGGGAAATTAGGGTTAGAGCGAAGCAGCACTTTCACAGCATTCACGGTCTCCCTCAAGATTTGGTTGTAATCATCGGGCATCAGAATATTCAATTTTTTCAATGATTCAATCAGAATATTCATTAATAAAATAATGAATATGTAAAAAAAACTAAGTTACATTGATGTAACAGACTTCAAATACAGGTAAACTTCACTTAAATGAATTCTTTTCTTGAAAACATTTCATTAACCTTTGATTAGCAAGGTAGTTTCTTTTGCATGAACTATCAACAAAGGGAGAGGGGAACATTTTATGACCATCTTTGAAAAATAACTATATTTTGTGCAAAAAAAAAAAAAAAATACACAGTAATGTCAGACTGAATAATAAACATTTTTGCAGCCAAGAACACATATTTACTTACTAATTTAAATCAAAATATAAACTATTAATATTATTCCTAAAAAAATTGCACTGCCAGTACACCAATGAGCAAACCAACAATGTTAATAAATGCAGTTAACTAAGTGACTTATATGCACTCTCAATAAGGAACAACAGCCTAAAAACAAATCATTTACAATACTGCCAACTGAGAGAAATATGTTTAACATTATTTGCATCTTGTACAAAGGGAATACTTTGTGCAAAAGAAAAAACTGAAACATTCAAATTACATCATAAAAAATATACTTAAGCTCAACAATAACTAAAATTTTCAGAATATGAAACAAATGAATGGTAGAATAAACAAACATAATAGACAAGGTGGGCACAGTATATCCCTTGGGAAGGGCCAAGTGAGAATTTGTAAAGTAAAATACAAAACTTAAATGAGAAACTTAGGTAACTTTCTAATATATAAATATAAAACACAAAAAAAGTCCGCATTTTTAAAAATACCAAAAATTATGCAAAATAATTTAATATAATAGTTTTAAAATTAACTCCAGGTTCACATCATTAAAAGTTAGCTATTACAAAGGAATGTATAATCATCAGTTCCCTAAACATTATTTGGCACCATTATATAAAGAATTTTTGATCTTGTCACAATCATGATTAACTTGCCTGGCAGATTGCTGAAGCAGTTACAGCTTCTGGGGAAACAATTTAATCCAGGCAATCAAATAAACTCCAAGAATTTTTTCAGTGATCTACCCCAGATGTCTTGCTCACCACACAATCATCCCCATTTGCGGTCTGGTCAAATCTAAAATAACTTGTGAAAAGGGACCACTTTAGTGTTCACAGGCAGTTTGATCCAGAGTACTGACAACAAAAGCATTTTTACAACACACACAAATCAAAAAGATCTGTAAATAAAAGCCAAATTCTAAAATAATAAATAAGCACACATCGTCCCTAATTTGCTGTTACAACCAATTCTGTACAAACTTGACCTCTAAACAAGTTACATAGGAGGTTTTTGTTTCAACCTCTGATTGTGCAGATAAACAGCCAATCAAGTGGAAGGAGGCAGGTATTTGTGAAGGCAATTGCACATCTCTGCTATAATAGCCACTACCACTTCTGTCATTACATCATTGTGGGCTTAGTTGCAGGCACTTAAACACGGTTGCTACGATTGACTCTCCCGCCAAGTGCAAGTTGCATAATATAATTTGATTTCTTCAAGCAGAAGAGAATAGTGCTGCAGAAATTTAGTGAAGAATGAGACAGGTATATGGTGAAACTTGAAAACTTTATGAGAAATTTAAAGGAGACCAAATCAATGTTCACGACAAAGGACAAGGACACAAGTCTGTCGCAACAGAAGATATTTGTTCAGTGAGTTGACAAAGCGGCTTGAAAAAACAGAGGTTTGCCATAAATGAGTTGTGCATGGAATTTCCTGAAGTTTCAAGATAATCTGTTTACAGAATCATAACAGATCATCTACACTACAAAAAACTGTGCACTCGAAGGGTTCCAAAGATGTTGTCGATGACCACAAAGGTCACTGAATGGCAACAGCAGTGACATTTCTCACTCATTATGATGCTAAAAGCCAAGTCTCATCTCCAGTCACAATGTCAAAAAATCATCACAATTTTTTGACATGAGTGGAGATGAAATTTGAATTCAATACATCACCCCTGAAATATAAGAACAGTCACGACAATGCCCAACCTCAGTGCTGCTGTAACCCAACAGCTTCTTCAGCGATTTCAATGGAAACTTTTTAAACACCAAGCATATGGCCCCAATTTAGTGCTGAGTGACTTCCACGACTCCCCAAACTGAAAAAGTGGCTAGAGGAGGGCAGAGATTCGAGACTAATGATGATCTTCAAAACATTAAGGCCCATCTCAAGTCACTGGCTGCAACATTCTACAAAGAGGGAATTGCAAAGCTCGCTCACAGATTTGACAAACACCTCAATCTTCACAGCAATCACGTTGAAAAGTAACCATGTTTGTACATAACTTTCTGTAATAAATTAATTTTGTTATTTACACTTGTCTTTGTTTTATGGACCATCAAAGGTTGAAACAAAAACTGCCCTCGTATTTTAGTACGATAAAGCAACATTAATTTGCCCACATACAGAACAGAGACAACCTGTTAAACTTTCATTGTGACATAACACTCGTTAAAAAGGTTTTTCGTGGGTTGTTATTAAAAAACACAGTGTTAAGTTGTTAGAAGTCGTTTATTTTCATTTTCACTGCACAAAATGTAGACAAATTGCCTAAAAGTAATTTCTACCCAAATTTACATTTAATACTAAATAACATTAAGTCGTCCACTCAGATGCTTGTAACAACACAGTAAATATGTGTTCAAATGTAAAAATACAAGAACCTTAAAAAAAATTCAGAAACTCATCAATTTTGATAAAAATGCATAAAATTTTTCAAAAATGTGTTAAAAATCAGGATTATATTTAAAATTGATCATTTTACAGAATTTGTGACGTTTTACCTGTATTTTCAAGTTATAAAATTGCTTAACTTCCTACATGTTACTGTATAATCAATGAAAACGTGACAATTATTCTTACTGTTTCACATTTAGAGTAATTGTTTCAACATAACAGTATTTCATACAAATACATGTAAAATTGAAAACAATTTTACCTACTATAATACTGAAACAAATACATTATTAACGAGAAACTCATTGTTATTAAAACTTGAAAATGTTATATTACATTAAACAGCATTTTGGAATTAACACTTACCAATCCTAAAGGACCGACTTTGGGTGCAAGAGATGACGTGGCACCAACTTCTCCACCCACTACTCTCAAATAAACTAAATAATGGGTTAAAATTTATTAATATTTTGTATAAATTATATTCTGTACAAAAATTGCCGTTTTGTAATAATTACAAACACAATAATCATTATTCATAAAAATAACATCACGTAAATATACCACGTGGTATGGTAATTTTCTAAAAGATTAATCTATAAAAGTAATAAACGTTATATATAACAGATATTATTATAAATTATTTTTAAAAAACAAACAAAATCGGCCATTATTTACAGAAATCCTTACAAAAGTTAACATTTTCTTACCGAATTTTCTAGTAATGGGCTATGGCGGCTCCATTCTTCTTCATAATAACGAGTTATTTATATAGTTTAAAACCTAACTTACCGATTTTAGTTTCGGTTGGATCAAATTTTGGTGGCATTTTAAAGATGAAAATGGATTGCAGTTGATAGTGTTGGATGAGTCTTGTTAGACACGACCAAAAGAGTTGCACCCCAACTGCTACTTACGTGAGCGGGACGCACAATGCGGATTTATTCTCCCTACCGTATATCGATAATTCGCTATAGCACAAAAGTAGCCAATGTCTAAAAATATTTATAATTTTTTTGTTGTAATTTTATTTTTAATACTTTTTCAATAACAATAAATATTTTATAATTAAAAAATATATTTTTTAAATATTCAAATGAATAAAATCTTTCGTATTATAAGAAATTCAATTTCAGAAATATAATTTTTGTAACGATTAATATGAAAAATGAGAAATTTTAATTTTAATTATTTTTATTTATTTTATTTTACTTATTTAAACAATAATTTTTTTAAAATCAAATAAACTCCCTCTTCAAAAATAAAACATAAAAATATTTAGTTTTTAAATAATTAGAATAAAAACAAAGTTTAAACAGAATAAAATATAATACAAAGATCCCTCTCGACAATAATAATAACACGTATGAAAAATTTAAAATGTGGCAAGAATAATCTATATATATAAAAATGAATGTATGTCTGTCTGTTCGTCTGTCCTTCATGCATTACCACACCGTTTATCCGATTGCCATGAAACTGTGGGAAGTTTTTTAATTTAATACACTCCCGCGAAGGTTTCTGGCATAGTACATTTATCCTACGATAGATGGCGCGCGTGTATACGAGCATTTCACTGTGTGCGCGATCGATTTCAAAAAATATTCTTCTATATATGCATTTGTGAACTGTTATTTACGATATTTGTAATAATTTTTGTTTAATCACTTTATTTCAACTTTTTTTATGCTAATTATGTATTCGCTCGAACTTTGTTAAAACCTTAACTGTACCCCGAACAACAACCGACGTTGTAGGAGGAAATTCACCTATTTTACCGATCTAGGGATCCCCCTTTTTCAAATTTTAATATCAACTCAAAATAATTTAAAAAGACAAATTACAATAAAACGGTTTATTATCCAACTATCAGAAATTTCACAACATGCCA